TTTCAGATATATCACATTAGAGGGGAAAAAATATGGTTTTTTGTTTTTCCTTTTTCTGTTGCTTAGCTGAACCTTTCTTCCTATTAGGCTGTATGGTCCTTTTAAGGACGAGAATGACCAATGGATATAGCATTGACGATATCCTCCATCTCTCTCTCACCTGGATTTTTATAAAGATGCTGATGACCGCACCCGTGATACGTAAAATGATTTCTGTAGCATTTTGCTGGCAGAGGATTTGCTCTTGCCTTGCGATTTAATCATTTTGGAGAATGTTCCCTTAATTGGCAGCAGAAGGTTTGCCGTGACAGAGGTTGCGGGGAAGGCTTTTGGATTATTAAAAGTTCAGCCTAATCATGAGTTGAGACAGTGATCCCACTCCTTTCTATTATTACTGTGCATCAAAAGCCACAAAATCTTACCTAGTGAAAAATCCTCCTTATTGCATTGGGATCCCTAGTGCTTTCACGGTGCTCAGAGAGCTTCACAAATCCCACCCTTCTACTTCCCAAAAAAGTGGGCAGAGAGAACAAAATCTGCCTCAGGCTCCTGGCCCCACCACAGCTCCTTCTCTCCTGCTTTTCCCTTTTAGGCTCTTCTTTTCTCGAGACCTGCTCTCCCTCCCTTCCATGTCTGTCATTTCCCCACAGAGAAAAAAAAAGTCTTCGCTTGCTTCAGTTGGGAACTGGGCGTTTCTGTATAATGAAGTCTGTATGTCTGATACTCCCACTCTGAAGTTCCGAAGCAGCTAAGGGTCATCTGTCATCTGGCATGGGGGGAGGGGAGGCAGGACCCTCAGCTCTGAACCCCAGGCCCAGAGGTTTCTAGGTCCTCCCCAAAGGATCAAGGCTTCCTCTTCATCATTTCCCCCACAGTAATCCTGTGCACACCCCTCCCCTTCTGACTCTGTGTTTTAAAAATAGTCTCTCAAGCAAATGCTGAACAAAGAACCTCCACTCCCCATTCTTTAATAATCCACCAAGTAAGCGCCCAGAGCTGTTGTTCAGTATGGGACAACCAAGTAATGAGGATTTCCAGCCAGAAGCAAAAAGACTGCATTTTAAATTAGCAGCTACAGCCTTATTGTGGTATAATAATTTGTCTGGTCTTTTTCCTCGGTTCCTGGCATGGGGCTTCTAAAACCCTGGCAATTTCCTGAGTGACAGGAGTGTCTTTGTTATGTTCATGAGGTGACTCTTTACAGTCAAAGTGGGTCCCTGCATAGCTTCAGGATGGGGGCTGGTCACCAGCAAGACCTTGGGCCAGCCTGACCTCTGGGGGCAGAAAGCAGACTGGGGACTGAATTCCATCACATGCTTAAATCAGTGATTCAATCAGGCATGCCTAGCAAATGAAACCCCAGGAAAATCTCTGGATGCCAGGGCTTGGTGGAGCTTCATGGTTAATGAGCACAGTGACGTTGGGAGAGGGTGATGTTCTCCGACACCGCAGACAGAGGGGAGAGAATCTGTTTGGGACCCACCCCCCAAGACCTCGAACTACGTGTATACCTTACAAAAAACCCTGTAGCCATTAGTATAGGGCCTTTCTGAGTTCATTCCAGCTAATTATGGAACCTGAGGGGTGTCATGGGAACCTCCCAGATTGCTGGCCAAGCGCTCATAATTATGCACAGGTGGCCTGGGGTTCCCACTTAAGGCTGCGGTCTGAAGCACAGGCAGTCTTTTGGGACTGAGTCCTTAACTCGTGGACCGGTGCTAACTCCAGAGGTTAGCGTCGGAGTTGTACTCAGTGTGCTCAGTTGGGGTGAAGACAGAATAACTGTCATTGAGGGTGATTTTCTGATTTCTAATAGAAATGTAGAAATCCTGGAAACAGCTTCTAGATCTTCAGGTTAGGTGTTACAGTTTGAAGCATGCGCTCCGGGGTGGGACAGGTTTAGAAAGATCATTTAGTGGATTCTTCCTCAAAGTGTGGTCCCAAGACTGTGCACGTCTGCAAACTGTTCATTACCAGCTCCTGATGAGATGTGTACGGAACTTGGTAGTAAGCATTTAGCATCTCTTACAGCAATCGGGCCTTGCCAAGACATTCAGGAATGGAAATATAAAAGTATCAGATTGTGACAGTTTGGAGGGGTAAAAATGATCCTTCCCCACAGATAGTTTAAGGAGCCTTATTTGTAGCTTCCGTTGGTATGATCAAATGGAGTCAGAACTTAGTGTTAAAAGTGTGAGGGCTGGAGTCAAGCCGACGGCTGGCTACCTCTGTGGTTTTGGGCAAGTTACTCAATCTCTCTGAGCTTTTGTTTCCTCATTTACAAAATGGAGATAGCAGTATTTCCCACCTCGCTAGATGCTGGGAGGAGCAAATGAGGTACTGGAGGAAGAGTGCTAAGCATGGGGTGTGGCACATAGGTTAACTGCTGGCATTGTTTCCTCTATGTAAATTTCTTGGCATCAGCATGTCTGGCTTGGTGAATGCATGTTCCGTACATGTGTGTTTGATTTTTGACTGTAAATGAAACTGACGGCCTTGCCTTTATGCAAATACAAGGGAAAGCAAACACTTTTTATTTTATTTTTTTTTTAAGATTTTATTTATTTATTTGAGAGAGAGAATGAGATAGAGAGAGCATGAGAGGGAGGAGGGTCAGAGGGAGAAGCAGACTCCCTGCAGAGCAGGGAGCCCAATGCGGGACTCGATCCCGGGACTCCAGGATCGTGACCTGAGCCGAAAGCAGTTGCTTAACCAACTGAGCCACCCAGGCGCCCCGCAAACACTTTTTAAAAGCCACAACTTATACATGTAATTGAATATAGCTTTTCAAATCGTCTCTGAGAAGCTAGACTCTCATTTCAAGGATGCCCCAGTGTTGGAAGCATCTGGGGCACTTCTCATTTCACATTTCTGTTAGCGCCTGTCACAGTGGTCTATGCTGATGTAATAACAAATCGCCTCAAAACCTAGCGGCTTAGAGCCACCATCTATCAGTATCACTCTGGTTCTGTGGGCAGACTGGGCTCGGCCGGGTTCTCACTGGGGGTCTTCCCTGCAGTTGCAGTCAGAGGTTGGCCAGGGCTAGGTCATCTGAAAGCTCAACTCGCCTAGACATGCAACAGGGCGTCTTCACTCTTCACGTTTGGTGCGGGGGCTGGACAGCTGGAACAGCTCGGTGCGTCTGGGCATCGCTCAGTCCATGTGGCCTTTCCACATGGCGAGCTTGGGTTTCCTGGCTGCATGGTGGACTCAGGTCAGAGAGATGTCTTTGTTGGTGGCTAGCTTCCCCCTGTGAATGAGCATTTTAAGAAGCAGGCAGTGGAAGCTGCTGGACCTGAGCCCAGTAACTGATCAGAGCAGTTACAGAGTCTTCCCCAAAATGCAAGGACAGGAGCCGTAGACCCCACCTCTCAATGGGAAGAGAGTCAACGAATCTGTGTCCATATTTAATCGGCTACAGAGCCACAAAGCAAATGTGGTTTTCTTACACTGGCGTATCTTTTTAACCACCAAAGACAGTGTGTAGCTTCCACGGTAACTAGGTTTATGTCGGTATCACTCACTTTGATAGGAGTTACCTGAGTGCAAACCCCAGCTGTTGGATTTTGGTCACACCTCACATGCCTTTGAGTTTTAGTAGCATCCATCAGCCTATGCTAAGGAAGGAGTACCCCTCTGAGTTCCTCCCCATCTACTTTGAGTGTCTGATTTCTGCTAATGACCCCCTTGAGCCCTGTGTTGCCTCCCTACACTCCTCCCTGTCCCCCTTACCTGCTACACAGAAATCTGAAAGTCCATGCAACCAGCACGGTATGCCCTTGCTCAGAAAACTTCACTCCTCCCCATTTCTCACAGAACCTGTGGCTCTGACATCCAGATAGGTCTGTGAGGTCTCCCATGGCTGGAATGGCATCACTGTTCAGTTAAGTTTTCCCTACTTCCAATCCCATCACCCACACAGCCTCCAGCCCCCAACACACACACACACACACACACACACACACACACACAGAGGCTCATGTCATTCTTTTAGCCAGTATTTATTCAGTGTCTGCCTGCGTTGGGCCCTGTGCTCATTGTTAGGCTCCAGTAAGCTCCAGTATTATTACACATGCCTTATATTTTTCCTCTTTGGGGGGCTTTGCTTACATTCCTGAAGTTTAGGTACATTTCTTATTACTGTCTTATCCCACACAGCAATGTAGCAATAAACATGGGTTGCAGTAGTGTATGAAGGAGAGGTTCCTTCTGTCTTACATTTTATCTTATACTTTTCATCTCCGCCTCCATTGTCATCCTTTCCCTGTTGGAGGCTCATCTAGAAACAGCAAGCTCTCTCCTCATCTCCTCCTTTATTTGAAATGTTAACATACTTCCCTCCTATTCCATCAGAGACTCATGATGGGGATGAAGTAGGAGGGCATTTATCTGAGTGTAGTTTTGAAGTCCACAGGCACTCTGGTATAACACTGGCCCACGGCCACAGTCTCTGAAGCATTGCTTATTCAGGATCATAGGTGGTCTTCTGGTATGTTCCTGGCAGCCTCCAGGGCCTGGGGGAGACCATGAAGAATCTGATGTGGTTGTCAGCCCTTAGAAACTGAACCTTTGGTGTTCTGATAAAGCAGGGAAGAGAGGGCCAACTCTACTTCTTAATTCAGCTGCCTTGTTTTACCAAATGGAATTCTATAAAGGCAATTGCAGAGAGAGGTTGTTGGGATGGGCCCCAATTAAGCAGCTGTCAGGGTGGGGAGGTGGTTATACCTCCAGAGGTTTTCCAAATATACAGCCACTCCTCCACCTCTCTCCCAAGACTCTCCGTGGGACCCCTCCTCTTGCAGAGAGGTCCGGTCTGGGGAAGGGGGGTGGGAGGGGATGTGACACTTGAATTTAGTCAAAATTCTCAGATGATCCTGGTTTCTGATGCCCCTTTTAACCCTCCCCCGCAGAAGCTCTGCTCAGGCCAGACTGTCCCCAGCGCCCGCACCATCGGAGCAGGTGACTTCAGGTGGCTAACTGTAGACCTGGCTGTTTTTCAGGTTCATTCGGACTCCCACCGCTTTAGGACACAAGGTGCTGACCCCAGGGACCTGCCATGAAACCACACTTGAAGCAATGGAGACAACGAATGCTTTGCGGGATATTCGCTTGGGGGCTCCTCTTCGTGGTGATGTTCATTTACTTCACCGACAGCAACCCAGCTGAGCCTGCACCCAGCTCCTTCTCCTTCCTGGAGACCAGGAGGCTCCTGCCCATGCAGGGGAAGCAGAGGGCCATCATGGGCGCCGCGCAGGAGCCCTCCTTGCTCCAGAGCGTGGGTGCACACAAGGGCCTGCTGGACGGACGCCCGTCGGGCCCCTTCCACAGGGCGCCGGGCGACCTGTCGCAGTGGGCCCAGGTGCAGGATGGGTTTGAAAGTGACGAAGAGTTCTTTTCATCCCCGATCGGGAGGAAATCGCAAAGTGCTTTCTACCCGGAGGACGACGACTACTTTTTTGCCGCGGGTCAGCCAGGGTTGCAGAGCCACACTCAGGGCACGCCGGGAGCCCTCTCCCCCCGGGACCAAGGCCGGTCAGAGGGGGCTGCACCAGCCCGCCAGGCGCAGAGAAGGCGGGCGGGGAAGAGGCAGCGGAAAGCCGGCGGGAGCCTGGTGCTGGAGGACGGCGACGACGGGGACAGGCTGTACTCGTCCATGTCCAGGGCCTTCCTCCACCGGCTCTGGAAGGGAAACGTCTCGTCCAAGATGCTCAACCCGCGGCTGCAGAAGGCCATGCAGGACTATCTGAGCGCCAACAAGCACGGCGTGCGCTTCCGCGGGCGGCGGGCGGCGGGGCTGAGCCGCGCCGAGCTGCTGTGCGCGCTGCGGAGCCGGGTGCGGGTGCGCACGCTGGACGGCAAGGAGGCGCCCTTCTCGGCGCTCGGCTGGCAGAAGCTGGTTCCCGCCGTGCCGCTGAGCCAGCTGCACCCGCGCGGCCTCCGGAGCTGCGCCGTGGTCATGTCGGCCGGCGCCATCCTCAACTCCTCCCTGGGCGAGGAGATAGGTGGGTCTCGCCACCGTGCGCACGCGGGCTGGTGGCTGCGCCGGTCGGGCTCAGCGCCCGAGGTTTCGGACGCCAGCCGGGGAGTCTCCCTGGGGCAGAATGAGCCTGTTGGAGGTGCCAGCGGAGGTCTTTTTTTTGGGCGGGGGGAGTGGAGATTAGAGCAGAGGTGTTTCCCCTTCCAGCTGGGTGTTAGAGTGGGAGGCCGGCGCTGCTCAGAATTCGTCTCCTGCAGACCCTATGTTCTACGTGGATAGGCTCCCAACCTCGCCCACAGAGGCCTGATGAACCCATACGTGGTAGGATCATGGGAGAGGAGCAAGAGGACCAGAGAGGCAGCGACAGTTCTCCAAAGAGAAGTACAAATGATGGTAATTTTAGTTAGCCCAGGGACTCAATGGATGTTATGGGTTCAGAGGAGAGCCCTTCAGGTCGGAACAAGGAGTTCTGACCTCGCACCGGTTGGCGCAATCCACCCTTTGGGTGAGGGCCAGTGCACTTCACAGGGCCCTTCTCCAAGATGGTAAATCACAGGACCACACCTCGGCGTCTATCTTTCCTTCTGAACTCTGCCTTCAGAGCCATGTCAAGAGCCCAGGAGAACATCTGGGTCACAGTTCCTGTATTAGGCCTCTCCAGAGAAACAAACTGATGGGAATTAGAGAGAAAGATTTATTTTAACGACTTGCTCCTGCAGTTGTGGGGACTGGCAAGTCTGAGATTTGTAGGGCAGATGAGTAGGCTGGAAACTCAGGTAAGAGTTGAGATTGCAGTCTGGAGCCTGAAGTCTGTAGGGCAGGCCAGCAGGTGGAAAATTGAGGCAGGACTCTCTGTTGCACTGGAAACAGAATTCCTTCTTCCCCAGGAAACTTCAGTCTTTGCTGTAAGGCCTTAGACATCCCTCTGTTCCCAGGCTCATTCCATTGCCACACCATTGAGCGAGCATTTTGACCCTTCAGACTCATTCACTCATTTAATAAACACGTGTTTAGTCCCTACTGCAGTGACAGTTCTCCAAAGAGAAGTACAAATGATGGTAATTTTAGTTAGCCCGGGGACTCAATGGATGTTGTGGGCTCAGAGGAGAGCCCTTCCGGTTGGAACAAGGAGTTCTGACCTCGCACCGGTTAGCGAGGTGCCAAGAAAAGAAAAATGAATCAGACACAGCCTTGGCCTCAAGTCCCAGTGTAAAACAACTGTGTCTACTACATTCTCACAGTAGATGGTGTTAGTTATAGCTCATAACTCACCTGGAAGTGAGAGTCAGGGGCATTGCCCACTTGTTCGAAAGGAATAACCATTGTTTCTTGGGTCCATTAGTGTTATGTGTTCCAGAGGAATGGCTGATAAGCCAGAGACGTCTTGAAATGGGGTGATGCCATTGTAATCAACTCCACAACCCAGACCTCCTCTCAGATGTTCTTGGGAATGAAGCTGAATGTGAAATTTTTAAAAAGTCAAAAAAAAAGTAGGCACTAGTATGGGCTTGAGGTCTAGGGTCCCAGTATCCCCATGCTGACATTACAGCGGGCTCGTAATAACACTGTCCACGCGTCACATGCCGCCAGAGCTGGAGCGGAACAGTCTGCAATTGATTAGGGAAGAACAGTGTTTTTAAGCTCCCTGGGGTGAAGTTCTTCCCCGTTTCCGAGGACCATTATTAATAACGTAAGAAGGAATTTAAGTATTACGCTTTAAAGCAGGCAGTAACTTGCTTCTGGTTTTGTTTTGCCTTATTTTAAACACCTCTGCGTAGTAGTTGCATATTTGGATTACTCTTGCACGTCAGGGAGATTTCTCTTGCTCTTTGTTCTGGCATAAATATCCCTGACCAGAGTCTTGGAAACTATTCAGAATTTGGAAGAGAGCGTGAAAGAAACCAGGAATTAACGTTTCCAGGGAGCGGGAAATGTCACTTATATCTTTATTAGTTTCTAGCATCCAAATTTAATTTATATTGTCTGCACTTAGGTGAAGCTTCATGATTAGAGTTATAGACTCATAATTGAAGAACACACTCAGAAATTTTAAGCAATTCTCTTTATTGTTTTGCCTTGGTTCCTTTGAATCCAATTTTGTACTACCATCTTAAGGATACGTAATCAGGGGCTCCTGGGTGGCTCCGTCGGTTAAGCAGTCAACTCTTGTTTTCAGCTCCGGTCATGACCTCAGGGTCCTGGGATCGAGCCCGCCCTGGCTCCACGCTCAGTGGGGAGGAGTTGGCTTCAGGATTCTCTTTTTCTCCCTTCCTCTGCCCCTTCCACCACTCGTGTGCTCTCTGTCTCTAAAATAAAGATTTTTTTTTTAAAGGATACATAATTAGAGCATAGTTCAATGTGAGAAAACAAAGAAGTCTTTCCTTTTTATAAGCTAGAGTGTCTCTTCATCTCAGCACTTGTGCCTGCCAGGTGCTGACATATCTCCTTCCTACTCTCCTGATACATACGTGCTTATTAACAGAGTTGTTAATGGCCCTCTTGATAAAAACAAATTCATGCCGTGGACTCCTTCAGGGAACTAGGAATATTGGGGCTTGCTCTGCTAGTTAGCTGAAATCATCCTGGTCCCTAGAAATCTACTTGTGAAATTGGCTAAGTGAAGATCAAAGGACTTACAAAAGGTCATGGTCTCATGAAAATCTGAGGAAGAAGCTAGGGAAGTACCGGAGGCTAGCTCCCTGCCAGGAGGCCCCTCCCGGCTGTACTGTCCATAAATACTCCGCCACCAGGGGTCTCTGAGAGGAAGAGCCAGTTCCTCCTCAGGTTTGCTTATCGGCTGCCCTCTAGCACCCCTTGCTGGTGGCTCAGGCGGGCCGTGCAGTCCTCTTTCCCGGCCCTATTAGACTTGAGTCACACCGTATAACTGTTTCTGAAAACGGTGCAGCAGTTGTAAACACCTCCACTTTGAATGTTACTGAAAAGCAAACTGAACTGTTTTTGTGTAGGGGCATATAGTAGTTGATGGTAAGAGCTTGGGGTTTAGCATATCCTGATACCTTAAAGGGTAAGAAAAGGTAAGAAAGCAGATCATATAGTCATTTAAAAAGCATCGATTATTTATTGATTCCCCAACTCACCAAAGCCTGATACTATGTTAGGCCTACTAGTGATGCAAAGATGAATAAGACACAGAGCTAGACCTCAGATCCTCTGCAGTCTACGGGGGGAGAATGACTCTAATGGGCAATTCCAGTTCCATGGTTAGAAGGACAGAGTGATATGCAGACTGACAGGGAAGAAATGACAACAGAACCCTAACCCACTGTGAGGGCTGATGGCCGGTAGGGAGAGGAGGTTAAGAAGAAGTGCCCAGAAGAGGGAAATCCAAGCCAAAGGCCAGGATAACAAGGAGGTGAGACAACACAAGGAGCGCTGGGGGTGGGAGGTGGGGGTACATAGAAGGGCACAGGGGAAGGGGAGATGGGGGGTGTGTGAGAGCTACAGGCAGCACGAGGGGCCGGGAGTGGGGAGGGACCTGAATAGATAAGCGGCAGGCGGGCAGCTCACGATGTCCTCGTGCATCATTCTTCAGAAATCAGACTTCACATAATAATTGTAATAAAAGGTGCCACTTACCGGGCATCTACTGCAGCCAAGTCCTGTTTCTAAATGCTCTTGTGTTCAGTGTTGCAAGCCAAGGATATGATGACTCCTGTTTTATGGAGGCACCTAGAGGCACAGGGGGTGGAGCCTGGACTCCATTAAACCCCACTCTCCCTCTCCAGAAACTCCAACTCTGACCCCTGCACTCGTGGTGCAGAGAGAGGCATTGAGATCTTTGAAGCAGGGAAGTGATGGGTCAGCTTTTCATTTGAGAGAGAGTGTTCCAGAGCCTGGACCTGAGGGCACAAAGGAAGTCCGTCACATTGCAGCAGTCCCAGGGAGAAGTGAGACAGGCCAGGGTGGCAGAGTCTCGAGAGGGATGAATCATCTGTTTGGCAGGCAGCTCCCTAAAGACTGGAGGCTTTTGCTCCCTTGCCATTTCCGATTTTGTGCTCTGGAGGAGCGCAGGAAAGAGGGAGGGAACCGTGGGGCCAGTGCCCGAGGCAGGGTAGTGACTCAGTGCTCGTGCCCTCCTGGCTGGCTGCTCCTTAAAGGGTGTTTTTAATCTTCCTTCAGTGAATGCATGTAGCCTGGCTTGGTTCTCAAGGTCAACACGAAATGGCTCTACCCTGGAAATGCCTTCTCCAGAAATGAGGCTTTACTTTATTCCCCGTGTGCTTGTTGTCTGATCCATTCCTCCTTTTGTAAATATGAATGGACAGCTTAGTTTTTCAGGCACATTGTCAAGGAGATGCACAGCGAGGCAGATATTTACAAAACATGTCTGCATGATAGACACACTCTGGGCTTGCCCCCCCCACACCTGCTCCCCCCGCCCATCCTGATCCTACTGGCAGCTCTGAGGAGGTTCACTCTCCATCCATAGCAGCCTCCGTCTCTACCTCCCTGCCTCCTCCCCGAAAATTGACCTTTTAACTCTTTAGACTCCCACCACTTCCAGAGGAGTTAAGCCAGATTCCATTTCTGTGCCCTGTGCCCTGTGCAATTGCTGGAAGGCTTGACACACCTCAGTGTAGCATTCTGGCATTTCAAAGCTGTGACATTTTCAGGGGCGATACAGTTGATTTGGAATTTCTACCTAATTAATCTGAAATACACCCCTGCTTGGGAGCCTTGGCTTGTTCACCTTCGCTGTAGACAGAGGCTGTGTCCAAGGGCAGCATGGTTTAGTGGGAGGACTGTGGTTCAGGAGTGTGGGCCTCACACTTCTCATCCTCATGTTGTCCTGATTATCTTAGTTCCTGAGGGTCACCTCACTGTCTGGAGCCTCTTGTCACTGCCTCAGGAGAAGGTTGCCCCAGGTCAGCAGTTCACATAGTGTGTGTGGTTCACATTTGGGGTCCCCAAGACCCTTTCAGGGGCTCATGAGGTGAAAACTTCTTTATAATAATGCACAGGGATCTTCTGGACTGTTTGACATTCACACTGGTGATGCAGAGACAGAGGTGAGTAAACTGCTGGTTAGTGTAAATGAGGCATTCCTACCCAACAGTACTAGTTGTCTTGCTGGTTTGCACGGCCATGCTCAGCAGGAAGAGAATCGAGTGCCTGTTTCACTTATGGATGTCCTTGATGAAACAGGAAAAAAATGAAAAGAATGTTGGTTTTATTTAATATCCATCTTTGACTACATGTGTTTTTAAGACAAAATGGGCAATAAAGTGAAAACGCACTTCTGCATACCAACACAGTGGACAAGCCCCTGTGTGGTTGGAGTCTTGAGCAGCACTAGCGTCATGAAATGCAATTTTTACTTGAAACAAATGACTGATAGACATACTTTATTCAGACCTGGATATTTGGTAGATATTTTCTCATAAAGGATCTGAGTGAACCTGTCACTTGTAGGAAAAGAGCTGACAGTATTTTTTGCCAGTGATAAAATGCAAGCTTTCAACCATGAACTTGGAACTGAACCCACGTTCCTCTATCCGATGCACAGCAAAGCCATCACTGAGACATCAGGTATGCAGCAAGGGAAGGGTTTATTTATGCAGGCAAACCAGGAGAGGAGAGGACAAGCCTCAAATCTGCCTCCCCAAAGGGAGAGAGAATGAGTTTTTTATAATCACAGGGGTTGAAATTGCATACATATTGATGAAAAGATCAGGGAAACTTACGACAGCTCATAAGGAGAGATGGAACATGCACATTGAACAAACGTACATGTAACATACATCCCGTGTTCACTTTGGGTGTAGACTTAACATCAGAATGAGGCAGCATTCAGCCCCTGACGTCAGGAGGTTATCTTCAGGCAAGGAGAAGGGGCTATGGGTTTGCTCCAAGAGACATTTTAAACTGGATGGGGTCTTGGGCTTATTATCTTGAGTAAGGAATGTGGGGCCTCCTTTGTTCATAGGCTGGAACCGTATCAGTTGACCTTGAGTCCAGGCTTCTGCAGAGACAGACAGTGGGCTTGTTAGTGGGGTCTGAAAAGACACAATAGCTGATTAGGGGGAAACAATTTTCTGAAAAACAAGCTTTAAACTTTCTGCCAGTTTCAACCTCATCAATCCTATGGACACATGGTTTCAAACTTGGAAGCCTCCCATACTCCAGACTGATGAGATGCATGGTGATTTAACTGATGTGATTTGGGGGGATACTTTATAGTGAAATGCATCAATATTTGGAAGATCTGCATAACTGATTGAACTGATAGCTCCAAATGATCATTGCTCAATGCTACAAAATCGTGCCTGGGTGAATCCTCCCATTTTGAGAGCAAGAAGAAGTATTTGGTTGGATTTCAATGGAACAGAGCATGGAAAGTTCATTTATATTGTTTCACATTCCATATTACAAAAGATTTTTTTTTTAAAGAAACTAGCATTTGTCAAGTTTTGATGAAGTATCAAAGAATATTCCCAGTAGTCTGGAAAGACTTAAAGTACTCCTTACATTTTCAACAATATATCTAAGTCTTGACATAATTCAAGTAAATCAATATATTGCAGCAGATAGAATGCAGAAGCAGATAAGAAAAACCAACTGTCTTCTGATAAGCCAGGCATTAGAGAAATTTGCAAACATTTAAACCAGTGCCAGTCTTCTATTTTTTTTAAATATGGTTATTTTTCATAAAAATATTTTATTTTTAAATAAATAAACGTCTTCTAATTTTGCTTTCTAAGGTGACATACATTGAAAAATATAATCCAAATAAACAAAAGAACTTTGGGTTTTCGATAATTTTCAGAGTGTAAAAGTGTTCTAACACCCAAAAGTAAGAACCACTGCTTTGGGTAATCTAATTTTTCTAGTGCAAATATTATTTGAATTTTTATGACAAAGTACTATTCAATAAAAATAAATAATAAAACATTCATTATAAAAAATGTGTGAACAAGTACTTATAAAGAAAATAAGAAGTGTTCATGTTTTTTGACATCATATATGCAAAGCATGGATCACCTAGGACGTAAAGATTGGCAAGCTTCTTTCTTTTTCTTTCTTTTTTTTTAAAGAGCCAAGTAGTAAATATTTTAGGCTTTGTGAGTCATGGGGTCACTGTCACAACTCACCTCTGCCATTACAGACAATAGATAAACAAATGAGTATGTCTGTGTCATCATACAGCTTTATTTACTAAAACAGGTGACAGGTCATAGCTTGCTGACACCTTCAGCGGTTACCCTAAAAGAACACTGTAGAATTCTTAAAAAAATATTTTATTTATTTATTTGACACACAGAGAGAGAGAACACAAGCAGGGGGAGGGCAGAGGGAGAGGGAGAAGCAGATTCCCTGCTGAGCAAGGAGCCCTATGTGGGACTCGATCCAGGACCCTGGGATCATGACCTAAGCTGAAGGCAGATGCTTAACTGACTGAGCCACCTAGGCATCCCCAACACTGTAGAAGTTTTTAATGGCATAGCCAGGAATCCTTTATGCATTCTTTGTGTTCTATTTAATTTTGGTGCTCGAAACTGGAACATAAATTCTGAGCTCAGAGCTCAGAAGCTCAAGAAAGGTACCTAATGTAACATTGTTTTAATGGTGACATGTGTGCCGAGTCTCTGCTACTTAGGGAATAGGAAGGTCTCTCCCAAGGAGACTACTCAAGAGGGGATAGCAGGACTCAAATGAAGAAGATGGGCTGCTTTAGGGACTCGCATGGGGTATAGTCACAGTAAATGCAGGCTACATCCACAGGCTCTTTGGCAAATCAGAAATACGTAATCTTACCTCTCTCTCTCTCTCCCACATACACAGGCATTGTTGTTGTTCCAACCAAGTTAAACTTGAAATGTGCATGGAATTTTTGAAGCTAAAGATAGCCCACAGAAATTCCCTTATTGCTGATTAACTCTGGTTTCTGGGCAATACAGTAGCTGGCTCAGGAAATTCCCAGACATATGTATGCATATAGACTGCTTTGTGGGAAGGGAACATGTCCCCATTCCCATCCCTTAATCGGATAGACAGGTGACCCCACTCTCCTCTACCTGTAGCTCTTTGTGTCCTTGTCGGCCTCCAGGAGATGGGAGCTTTGTTTTCACCCAGGATCTCCGAGAACTAAAAAAGTGTCAAGTTGAATGAAGAGAGACATAGATTTATGTTGTAGTTGAGGCTCGGTGAACCAAGGTGTGCCCTGACAGAAGACAAAGTGCCTTGGCAGCCAGTACCATCGGTGGTGCTTCCATCCGGCAGGGCTGCGGCGGGACGTCATACCAGTGCTGGGAACGCAGAACGCTCTCGGTTGCTCCCCCGTGGGTCTTCTGGCCAGCAGCAGCAGTATGTGAAGCACAGAAATCCTGGCCAGGTTTTTTGGGGTTTTTTTAAGTTTTCAGTTTTAATTCCAGTATAGTTAACATACGGTGTTATAGAGGGCTCTTTCTTTTTTTTTTTTTAAGATTTTTATTTATTTATTCATGAGAGAGAGAGAGGCAGAGGCAGAGGGAGAAGCAGTCTCCCTGCTTCCCGCGGAGCAGGGAGCCCCACAAGGGGGCTCAATCCCAGGACCCCGGGATCACAACCTGAGCCGAAGGCAGACGCCTAACAGACTGAGCCTCCCAGGCGCCCGAGGGCTGGTTTTCTTTTTAAGCACAAACCAGTACCCCAAGGTATAGAAATCGCATTAAAGGCTGTGGCTCTTTCTGTGTGAGAGATGCCCTTGGTCTTGGCACCGGCCGCGGTCTTAGAGGCACCATGAGCAGCCTCCATGCTCCAAGCAGTAAGAACCACACAAGCAGCCCATGTGCAATATCCTTACATGCTCCCACAGATTCCATCTTTGAAATATTCTGGAATCTTTCAGAGAATGGCTGCATAAAGCATGTCACCTTTAAAGAATGTGAACACATAACAAGTACCTAAATATAGCTTAACATTTGGATGACATAGGACCACTTGTAATGGTCCTATGTTTCCATGTTGATTTGTCCCCTAGCCGGGATCCCATTCTAAATAGACACTATACTGAAAAATATATGTATGGGTATCTTAACTTTATTGGTTGTTTCTATTAGCTTCAGGTATTGAAAATTTTGCTTTAATGCTTTTTTAAATTATGTCGATTCGACAGCAAAAAGTACAGTAAGTTTGTCATTTATGTGTCCTTAGATTCTCATGACGCAGTTTTGAGATTTAACTCTGCTCCTACACGCGGCTATGAGAAAGATGTTGGAAATAAAACCACTGTGCGCATCATTAATTCCCAGGTAAGATGGATGGTGTGTTCTCATGGAAGTACATCTTATAGGTAAATAGTTTAACTGGATGAGTGAAGAGAAATTACCCATTTATTCATGACTATGGTCTTGCTTATTTCTATGGGTCTTGTAATTAAAAAGAACAGAGAAAAAAATGCAGATAAATAGAACTTATGTGTGACATGAATAGGAAGAAATGAGTAAATAAGATTAAAAGGAAAAATCAGTGTACATATGGAAATATGTGTGTCTATCCATACACAGGGGTACATACATAATCATAGATTTAGCATGTTGCATTTTATGAATGGAGGAAAAGACAGTTAAATTTAAAAGAAATCGCAGTGGTGAGAAAGGCCAGCAATGAAGGGGAGAAAAGCAAAGGTTACAAAATCCAAGGGTCAGTAAGGTGGCTTGCAAACTTTAGTCCATCATTTGAAAAATTAAAAAAAAAAAAAAAATGGATTGTTTTGTTAAGTATTTCTCTTCCTGGTGTTCTTCATAAGAATACTTTCCAAGTTCAAAGCAAAATTACTCTCAAAACCACAGCAGTTCCCAGAGTTTCAAACTATATAGAAAGAACATGAGGTGATGGATGATTTATGACAGGTTGCTTGCAGAAGGAAAGATTAGCTTTCTGCATGGTACCCTGAAACAATCGTCATATTTCCTTACTTCACAGATGCCATCGATTGTAAGAGCCACCATTCATTCAGTCACAGCTTCCCAGCTTTTCAACATTATCAACCCCACCAAATTGAAATACGTGTCCCCTGTAAGATACGCCCTGGCTTGTGAAATCTTCAAATATGAAGAAAGAAAGTATATCTCGAAAACTGAAAAATTGCCCCTGAAAACTGATGAAAACCAATACTTTTTTCCCTCCAAAACTGTAGTTTAAAAAGACGATTGGCAGGTATCTCCTGGTCTCCTCCAGGACCAGATAGGGACACAGAGGGAGGAAGTCACATTGCGGCTGCCATCCGTCCGCCGGCTGTCTGTGTTCCGTTTGTCCCGAGCCTGGCCCTCTGGAGGCGCCTTCATAAGGCAGGTCATCCACAATTGCACCTCCCTCTCCAATCACCTGTGAAAGTAACTGGAGATGATGCTGGGGTGCCGAATTAGCTAGGGCATTGCATCTTTCAGAAGTTGATTCGATGCCATCAGCTATGAAGATGGTGCTGGTGAAAATGGAGGAGACAGTGGATTTTATTTTTAACCTTCATTTCCCCAGACATTTCTTTACACACATAAGCGTGCGATGCTCACCTCTCTCCATCCCCTGGAGGAAAAGACAAAGTCTGAACAACTTTTTTTTTTTTTTTTGCTCTGATTCTTTTTTTTTTTACATTTTCATCTTTTTTTAAGATGTAATTTTGAAGAACCAAACACTTATTTTAAAATGACTTTTGTTTGTATTTGCAGATTCTGACCAACCCCAACCATCACTTCATTGACAGCTCATTATATAAAGATGTCATTTTGGTGGCCTGGGACCCTGCTCCTTATTCTGCAAATCTTAATCTGGTAAGTGTTTTCTTTAGGGTAAGTGCCCCTACCCTAACAGTCAGACAGTGCCTTTGACTGATTAATAATGGGAGCAAGTCAAGGATTAAGCTTTCACAGAATGAAACCACTCACGGGCGCTACTTAAATAACATGTGTATTCATACCATTTTGATACCCGGTTCCCAGGGCATACTTGGTGAACATGATCTATCTAATGAAAAAGGGCTTTTGCTCTCGAGGATTTAAAAACCAAAAAAAATTACAGTGTCTAAATATTCAGACATTCCTAATTTCACTAGAGATTGGGTGGAGTAAACTCAGAATGTTTCCATTGTGATAGGGTTACTTTAACTTCTAAGCAGTTACAAGACCTTCTGAAATAAATTCAAAGTGCTTGTCAAGAGAATTTAAACTTTGTGAATCAGCAGCTCATTATTCTTTAAGTGTAACCTGTTACAGCCTTTCCTGGAGTGTGCCACTCTTTGGCTTCTGCCTCTAAACCCTTTTTTACTTTACATGGTGTAGTGTAAACCAGATTATTACTAGCCATCAAAATATAAGCAAGTTATATTCATGGCGTTCTGGCAAATCATTGCCTATCTAAAGGAGCAGCTAGTTACTTTGGTGAAAACTTGGAAGAAAAGCCAGTGCAGTTTTTAAGGAGGGCTGGGAAATATGTATGACGGTTTAGCCTCGTGAAAGGTGCTGTCAGCTGTGCCGAAGAGTGTCTTTCAACTTGTTCTGCCATGACCTAGGAGAATGCATCCTTCTTAAGATAAAGGTGGGGGAGCTCTTGGCTCCACCAAGAGGTAACTTTCCAAGAGAGCAGCTGTCCAAGGTCACATGGGTCCCTCTGGGGGTGTTTGGTCACTGTTCATCTTGAGACCAAGCTGGACGTTTACCTAGCACGATTGCTAACTGGTTGTTAACTAGGAGTACAAACCAGAATCACCTGGAGAGGATTTTTCAGATGTATCTGTCAGAGCCCCATTTCCAGACATGTAGCCTGCAACCTGAGTGTGTATTTTTTTGAGAAAGCTCTCCAGCTGATTCTCACAGGTACCGTCTACCAAGAATCAAGTGTGAAATGCATGTTGGAACTCTTCAGCTTCCTTTCCAGACTGAAGTTCTCTAGCTTTAAGTTCTGACCTATCTCTTGCTGTTTGTGGACAGACTCAGACCTCTAGCTGTTGGTCCTTGTTTCTTCCTCCTTTGGAAGCAGCCAAGCCCAGGGCACAGAGCTGTCAAACCCAAAGGACATGGGCATGACTGTGCCAAAGTCCAGGCAGCAGGGCTGCTTTCTGTGTGGCCTGTGCTCTGGAGGAGGAAGGGCTGAGGAAACTGAGGCCCATACTCCTCTTGCTTCCCTCCTGCTGCCTCTCGGCTTGGGGGCAAAGTGTACTACAGATGATTGGGCCTAGTCCTTCTCAAAACTGTTAAAGCCACAGAACCCATCCAACCAGGGAATATTACTTGGGATTGATATATACCTCCTATCTCCCCAAGGTGTCAGTTCGAAGGGATAATGGGGCCCTCAGAGCCTTACGAGCTAAGTATCTCCCCCACAGACCTCCAAATCCCATTTCATGACGGCACCCGAGACATTCTAAAGACATTTACAAAACAATCAACCTTATTGTGCATTTTTTCATACAATAATGTATGTATAATCAGTAGAGGTATACATTTTGATGAGTGTTAGCAAATTTATATAGCCGTGTATCCACCACCACAGTTAAGAAATGGAATATTTTCATCACTCCAAAGAGTTCCTGGCGCCCCACCTGGGGTCTTCCAGGCCCCAGACCTAGGCAACAACTGGCATGCTTTCTGTCACTATACATTAGATAAGGAAAATATGTTTTTGAAATACACTGATTGAGCCCAGGGGTCAGCAAACTACAGCCATCAGCCAAATGTGGCCCTGTTTTGTAAATAAAGTTTTATTGGAATACAGTAATGCCCATTCGTGCTCTCTCTGCTGTGCCTTTGTCAGTACAACAGAAGAATTGACTAGTTGAAGAAGACCGTGTGGCTCACAAAGCCTCAAGTGTTTACTGTCTGGGCCTTTACAGAAGAGTCCGGCACCCCTGCCCTACCTCATCTCCCATATTTCACTAAAGAACAAAGTACCATCCTCCAGGGCTGGAACCCTATCTTTCTTTGTTCTGGTTCCCTCTTCCAGTGAGGCAGTGCCTAAAGACGCGACAGTCACCACCTCATTCCCCTCCTGTTCCCTCAGCCTGGAAGGAGCTTCTGCCCCCACCTGGGTGCTGCCCTGTTTCCTTTTCGCACTGTGGTGCTCTGTACTTGATTGTGTTGATTTTTTTTTTTCTTAGTGGTACAAGAAGCCAGATTACAACCTGTTCACTCCATATGTTCAGCACCGTCAGAGAAACCCAAATCAGCCATTTTATATTCTTCATCCAAAATTTATATGGCAGCTTTGGGACATTATCCAGGAGAACACCAAGGAGAAGATTCAGCCCAACCCACCATCTTCCGGCTTCATTGGTAGGTGTATATAAGAACGGATGATCAGGCCGGCAGGATTAGGCTTCGTATCTAGTAAATGTACAGTTACGTTATTTAATCGGAACAGTTAGAAGGTGGTTTTAGAGGAAGCATAGATTAGCTGAAGATAGTAGAAATACTCTGTTCTGATTATCTATTGGTGCATAACAAAGTACCCCCCAAATTTCAGGGTGTAAAGCAAGAAGTATTTTATTTTCTGTCATGATTTTGTGGGTCTTGATTTTGGTGGGCTTGGCTGGGTGATTCTTCTGTTCCATGGGCATCGATGAGAGTCACTTGGTGGTACTCATCTGCTTCCTGGGATGGCTTCCCTCCCATGGTTGGCCCCCTTGGTGCAGATGGCTGGGAGGGTGGGCTCAGCCGGGAATGTTGACTCTGTGCCTGCACGTGGTCTCTTATATGGTGGTCTCAGGGTAATTGGGCCTCTTAAATGGACACTCGGGGATCCCGGCAAGCTTCTTATGACTGAGGCCTAGAGACCTGCACAGTGCCACTTGCACTGTATTCTGTGGGTCAGAATAGTTAAGGACCCATGGGATTCAAGGGGAGGACACATAGACCCCACCTGGGTCATCTATGAGCCACCATCCACTTACCCATTCACATTGTTCACATGATGCCAGATTGAGGAGGTGAATTTGTGACCGTACGATAGTGTCATGTGCTGCAAGAGAAGAGGTGCAGGCTTTGATGAGAATAATTCTAGAACCTTCTACAGCTCTTGCTACCAGAGTGCACTAGCTCTAATCTAAAAAATGGATTGTTTTATCTAACAGGATCATCACACTTGGCTTATTATATATATTTTTTGCAACCATACTTTGATCCTCAAAATTTGTGGTCTTACCCCATTTCCTTACCTATGCCTCAGCTAATCATCCCATTATCTCTTTGATTTTACCCAAGTAGGGTAATATTAAGAAATAGCTTCGATCCCCTTGGCAATATGAAAGCTGTAATAGAACCAAAGGATATTAGTTTTGTCCACAAAAAACTGTGATGTTCTCCACCCTAATTTCAATGAATTTACAACACTGCATCTTAATTTGGGCTGTGCTGTGGGTCTCTGTGAATAAAGGAGAGATTTATGGAGATAGTAGTGGTTTGGTTATGGATACAGGACCTTCAAGTATCTGAACTGAGGCTTGTGGATTTTGGAGTGAGTTTCTGGTATTACAATAATGTGAAATATTTTACATAGAATTCAAGACAGAATTTACAATATGACTGCAGATTATTTTCCTCAGGCATAGCTAACCACCCTTTTAAAGTCATGCCTTTGACACTCTATTTCCAAATCAGTCCTGAAATGCTAGGTACTTTATCTTTTGTGCAATTTTATGGGACCCTGTTGATTTAGGAAAGAAAGTATAATCTAGTTTGTCAGCAAAGGTTAAGTGGGATAAAATCACGCTTAGACAGCATAATAGGATGTGGCAGAAGTTTAATAAAATCTTTTTCGTATTATTGCCTTCTCACGAATTCATGGGGCTACCACTTGCTTGGAGCAAAAGTTTTCGAGCACAGTGGGGGCTGTCAGATATACTTACCACAAAGTATAGTTTGAAAGATTCAAGTTGGATCCTCATAGCTGGAGAGAAACATTTTCCCATGTGTTTTTGTTGGACGGAATCCTGCCGCATATGGCTAGCTTCCTTTCATACCTATTTACTGAGAATTTGGAGTTTTCAGAGACTGACGCTTGCCTTTGAGGCGTCTTTTACGTGAAGAAGGGGAAATGCAGTCTGATGGCGTTGCAGGAGTGCTGACTGGGGCGGACAGGTGAAGCGTGACTTGTTCTCTGCCATTTACCACCTTTTTGATCGTGGGCAAGTCAATCACTCCTGTGGGCCTCCCTGTTCTCTTAGAAGAGATGAGAATGATAAAATCTTCTTCAAGATGAGTTGGTGCACCCATTTGCCATGATTACTGTTTTCTACCACTTTCCTGCCCAGATTGGCAGCTGCAAGCCACGGGGGGCTATTTACATTTAAATTAATTAGGATTGAATAAGAGGGAAGCTCCAGGAAGCACTGGCTTCCTTTCTAGCTCTTAGTAGCCACGTGCTCTGGCAGTGCAGAGGGAGACCATCTCCATCATCACACGCAGTTGTATAGGATGGCACTGTGAAGTTCTGCTAGTCACAGAAGAATGAGAAAGAGCAAGCGGGTAATTATGGAAGTCTCAGTTCCCACTGGGTGGGCTCTGCTCTGCGACTGGAGACACCGATATTGCAGAAGCCACAGCCCGCCATCATCACCTTTGTTTGCTGCTCTTGTCCCCGGCCAGATTTCAGCGTTAGCCCTCACGAAGGATGGGCAGGAGAGGCAGCTTGTGTGAGCTGTGCTCAGCAGAGCACCATTCGCCCTCTGAAGACCCCGCGGACGTTGTAATTGGCCTGCCTCCTCTTGAATCTTGCTCAGAAATATGCTGAGAGCCAGAGTCTGTTTTATAACCTCTCTGATGTTCCTAAGTATTGGTAAAATGATGTCACTCACATCTCAAACTTTCTGCCATAAGAATTTTTAAAAATCAGTGAGTTATTTTCTCTTATCAAAAAGTGTTCTCCAGGGGGGCCCGGGTGGCTCAGTCGGTTAAGCATTTGATTCTTGATCTCAGCTCAGGTCTCAATCTCAGGGTCATGAATTCAAACCCTGCGTTGGGCTCTCCATGCAAGGTGTGGAGCCTACATTTAAAAAAAAAAAAAAAAGTGTTCTCTAAATACTCCTTCGTGTTCTAAGGTCATGTTGAAAAAAAAACTATTGACTTCTTATCTCACCACCTTATCATTTCCAACACTAACCTCTCCTGTCCCTTACTGAACAGAAGAACCCATCATAGAGCTGGTCAGTGAGATCAGGATGTTTCTGGGTGCACAGCAGAGGGTTCTGCGCAAGTATGGAGGTCAGCAGGACGTCCTCTATCAGAGAAGAGTAATTTCCTGATATTCTGCTTTCCTCATCAGCCCAGGGCTCCACCCGGAGGTAAAGCAAGATGAGTTCCTGTGCTTTATTGAAGTGCGCATCTGTACAGGAAAATAGTCTCACATTTAATTACTTCTATTACTAAACCCACTGCATATATTTTCCTTGTATGTGTTTATGAATCTGCATGTGTAAAATAGAAGGACTCTAAAAGTTGACCGTTTTGAACACACAAGACATTTCTTTCTATGGAAATTTATAGCCAATGGCCGTTAGATTCCCAGGGGAACACACCTAGAACCCCTTAAATGTATTGTGATTGGTTGCTATTCAGAGGCCTATTCCTGGGGCCTCAGTTCATCATATTGGAGGAAGGTGGGGAAGATGGAAGGGAAAAGCCACTAGGTGGATATTAATTAAGTACCTCCTATGTAGCAGGCACAGGGCAAGGCCCAGGGGTAGTGGGAAAGAAACCAGGCAAAGGTCCTGCTCACCACGAACTCACGGTGCAGTGGGTGACCCACATTACAGAAGTGTGTGTTCCCTAAATAAAATAAAATCACAAACTGTGCAATGAAGGAAAAGAACAGGCTGCCTCGAGGGCTGGGAAGTGTCTATTTTGCCCATCATGTTCATGCTCATAGCCCAGCACATAGGAAGTACAAGAAATAATTATTTGGAGAATGAATGAATGTTTTAGCTCAGTGGTTCTCAAGTTCAGCATATGTCAGAATCACCTGGAGGATTTGTGTATTAGTTAGCTAAGGCCATGAAGTAAAGTACCCCAAGACTCACCTCCTGGAAGGAATCAGCATTTATTATTTTGTGGTTTCTGTAGTCAGTATGTGGGAGCAGATTGGCTGGATGGCTCAGCATGCTCTTTCATGAGGTCGCATTCCAGCTGTCCGGACATAGGTTGGCTGCTCTGTTTTCTAAGTGGCTCACTCACAAGATGGCTGGTGGCCAAAGGCCTCAAATCCTCACCACAGGGACCTCTCTAGGTGTACTTGGAAGTCCTCACAACCTGGCAGCCAGCTTCCCTACAGCAAGCGATCTGAGAGAGCAAAGAGGAGGCCACGGTACTTTTTATGGTGTCGTACATTATCCCCGTGGCTACATTCTGTTTGTTACATCAGTCAGTCCCATTGTTGTGGGATGGAACTACCCCAAGATGGGAACACCAGGTAGGGATCCTGGGGGCCCTGCTGAAGCCTGGCTCCCACACCTTTCTAACACACAGACACCTGGGCCCATCCTAGAGTTTCTGAGGAGGTGGAAGGGGCGAGAATTTGCATTTCTGCCGGTTCTTAAGTGATGCTAATGCTGCTGGTCCTTGTTCTGTGCTTCGAGAACCACCTTTCTAGCGTTTTAGAATCTTAAAGTTATAAGGAACTTTAGAAATCTGGTCTGCAGATCCTGTATTGATAGACGTGCCATCAAGGTGATAAGCATTTGGCTCAGGAGAACACAGGATGCGACCAATACATTATTCTTTTTGTTTCTTTGAAGACATAGCTAAAAAATTTACTCTTATCATTACTGATGGACTTCTTTCATGTCTTGAAAACTCGTGAAATGTCATACATAACAGCTGGCTGTAAATGTCTTCTTAAAAGTGGATTTTTGTTTGGTTGGTTGGTTGACTCTATCATCTTGGGACCCAGATTCTTTACATATACTGATTGTTTGGGTATAAGTTTTGGCACCAATAAGCAAGGTCCCAACTCCAATTGATTGCAGGAAACCATCCTCAGGAATATTCAAGCAGATGGTTCAGCCAACATCTCCCATTCTAGAAGCATGACATCATTTTTGGACCTTCATTAGGAACCCCTAACCCTGGACCAGCCGTCTCCTTGATGGAACATAAATCTCGAGGGCTTGCCTGGTAGATAGGAGCTATGGTGGGTATGTGTGTTTTCTGTGGGGAAAAGAGAGCAAGAAATACATAGTCCCTCCCCCCCAACCTTATCTGCAGAGGATACATTCCAAGACCCCCAGTGGATGCCTAAAACCTCAGATAGTCCCAAACCCTATTTAGACTGTTTTTTCCTG